CCTTCGTCGCTAACGAATCGTCCGTCGTTTCGAAAACGTTCTCGAACGACTCTATCGGTTGTGCGAACGTCGTCGTCGTAGTACGCGGTGTGGAGGTTATCGGTTGTACGTCGTGCCATTGATCAGATTTATAATAATAGGAAAGGAGACATTTTAATAAGAGATTGATATCGGAGATGGTTCACATAAAAACAAACGCATGGGCTAAACAAACAAAATGACACAGAATCCCTGCCAGAATCATATCTAAACATTATCCAATCTCTTTCCCCCTCTTAACATTGTCCTTTGTCTCCTTTCCTATTATCTTTCCTATTTCTTTGTTTTCTTTTTGTCATAATGTCGCTTGACATCGTTGAGTTTAAATGTTACATCCAATTGTATCATGGCTTATTTTTTATTAAATATAATTTTTTTTATTAAATATAACTTTGTTAATTGTGTGTACCTATCGTCGTCTACCTTACATCATTGAGACAATATAAGGTATATATGTTTTATTTAATTTGCATTTTTTAATTTAATTTACTATAAATGTACATCGATAATTTAATCTATAACGCAATGTTAATGTATTATTTATTATTGAGATTGTAGAATTGCGAAAAGTGAGATGTGATCTCTTTTGATAGTTTTACATATGGACCGCATTTTATGAATACAACCGAATTTTTCACTGGACATTATAATTTGACCGAATTTTCCGATAATATATGTAAGAGTGTTATTTTACATTGAAAATGACATGATCGGTGTCGAAACGTTTGTATATATACGATCATTAAATATATCTTACATTATAATTGGCTCATTGCCCTTCTTTTATTTATTGATTTATTCTAATTGAGCCATATTAATATTTATTTTATATGATATGTTGTTACCGATTTGTGCTGTAGAGAGTTTCTGATCTCTTTATATTATACATATGTATATATAGAAGTTTATTTTATATTACGTATTGTATAAGTTTATAAAGAAATTGAAGTTTATTTTACAATATATACAGATTTTGTTACAGTTTGTATAAAGAGATTAGATAATATTATACATAGATCTATAAAGAGGTCTAAAGTTGGTATATCTTTCATCATATATATATTTTTTCTAATATAAAGTTTATGTATCCAATGTATATATACACAAAATATTTACTAAAAACAATGTAAAGTTACAAATACAAATTATATAATAATAAAATGTTTAAATTACTTTTTATTTTATTCATAGATACAATAATTGTAAATGTAAAAAAAATAGATTCCTGAATTATATAATTCTAAATAAAGCTATTTAGAATTTTATAGTACGAGTGATAACAAAATGTTTATTATTGGCTTTTTTTCAATAGTACTTTGAACAATTGATGGTTAAAAAAACAGCTATTTTGTAGAGTGTTAACTATGTTCTGATGTACTTTTCAAGAAAAAAAATATTAAACATTTTTGTCCCAATCGTGTACTATGAAATTATAAATAGTTTTATTTAGAATTAATTCAGGAATCAGTTTCTGTGATTTGAGCTTACTAAACACACGTAACGATGATATTACTATTTTATAACAAATAAAACAATGGTTACATAACAATGACATAGTTCATATTTCAATTATATAATATTTTAGTTTTTACATTATTATTACATAACAGTCTAATAATTTATATTATTGTTATATAACATTTCAATAGCACATCATATTCATGTTATATAACTGCAACTTCGTATAAGTGGGGAAATTATAACTAACGTGAATATTGCATGTAACGAACACGGTATATTACTTGTTACTTTCCTTTTCATTACGGCAATGTTATATTAATGTATTTGTGTTTGCTGGGATATGTTATAATAAACGAACAGCAATATAACGGCATTTGTTGCGTGTTACGTAACAATTGCTAATTGATATAATATTAATGTTATATAATTTAAATTATGGTTCTAACCTCGCGATCTCTATCTGCGACTTCGCAAAGCTCTGTGCCAGTCGAGCCTCGAGCTGTCAAACATAATAAAACGTGACACGCGTGACAATTTGTACTTGAATCGTAAGAATTTGCAGACAAATGAATATTACTTGTGCTATAGAAGAATATAAATGGTGAATTCAGTCACTTGCATGACAAACTATATCAGTGCATACTAAAAGCTGTTCCATGGAATCAGTGAAGTTAAATGTAAAAGTGGTAATTGTTTAGTTTAGCCTCCACACCTCCGATGTTGATAGAATCATTCGACGCGTTTTTGCACGAAATGAACGAATTTGGCAAATAAAGTATCGCTCTGTTCTATGGATCGAGATATTAATCATTAAAGTGACGACTATTTAGGTTAGGAAATCTATCACATCGATAGCATAGAGATAGACATGAGAACATGTAATAATAATAATAATGAGCTCGGGAGGCAGCCACCAGTTGGGGCCCGCCAACGACACGCAGACTAGGTCCATTGTGTCTTCCCGGCCATACTACCTCCAGATCAGATCAGATCTGTCTTCCTCCAGAAACGGAGGAAATCCCTGACCTGGAGTTGACATAGCTCGAGAAATACCGAGCCCAAAAGAAGCCGCCTTTATCCTGCATACGCTGGGTATTCACATAATACGTGGAGGGAGGTCTCTTCCTCGTGTTCGCACTTCCTGCACTTCGGGTTATCCCTATGCCCCACCTTGTGCATGTGGTAGTTAGTGAAGTCATGGCCCATGTAACTCTGCACCGCCAGCCTGACTTCCCCTCTCCTCAAGGCCCTAATGCTCCTGACAAGGTCCCTGCTGGGTATCTCTCCCAGCAGGACCCTCGCCTGCCTGCACTTGGTTTTTGTCTCTTCCTTCCAATAGTTGATATGAAGTAATACGCGTAACCAGCCCTTTATTTTTGCCCTGCAGATACAGCTGGGCAAACCTAGAGCCGGTTCCGATCCCATCAGCCTGGCTGATGAGGCACTTCTTGCTAGCTCATCGGCAATCTCATTGCCTTTGATTCTCAAGTGTCCTGGAACCCATACAAGAGCAACATCGTTGCCCGTGGACAGTCTGTTCAGAACACATTTGCACTCCCAGACCAGCCACGAGTCAAAAATGCACGCTCCCAGAGCCGCCCTGCTATCGGAGCATATCCTGATGCGTCTGCCCGTCTCACCTGATGCGGTTAGCGTTTGAGCACAGCTCATGATTGCTACCACCACCGATTGGAATACAGTGGTGAACTCTCCAAGAGGGAGAGCCTTCCTGACTCCGCTATGGCATCCGTAGATCCTGGCACCGGCGCCCTCATCAGTCTTGGAGCCGTCCGTGTACCAGACGTCTCCATTCCTAACAGCGGGCACCTCGTGCCTCTCCCAGTCCTCGCAACTAGGAATATAGATCTTATAAGATCTGTCGAAGTCGCGCCTTATTGGCATTCTGTCCTGCCTCATGTCAAACATGGTTTCCATTTGAAGCTCCCGCGATAACCGGGTGTGAGTCACACCGTTCATCCATTTGCCCTCGCACTTCAATCTATACGCAATGACCGCTGCTGCCGCCACTCGCGAGATGGAGTGGTTCTATGTCAAGCAGTACTCCCATTGCCGCCACTGGCGTTGTCCTCATTGCACCCAGAACCCCCCTTAAAAAGAGAGCCCTGACGCGTTCCAGTGATGCCCGAGCCTCAGTTAACTGTGTCCTTGGCCACCAGACCACCGCAGCGTAGAGCAATCTTGGTCGGAGCACCACAGAGTATAGCCAAAACACTTTGTCTGGCTGCAATCCCCAAGTTTGCCCAAAGGTTCTTCTGCACATCCAGAAGTATATGCAGGCTTTCTTGCACACCGATTCCAGGTGTAGCTTCCAGTTCAATCTTTTATCCAGGACAATCCCCAGATACTTGACCGACATTCCAGGAGTCAGTCTGACTCCCTTCAATATGGGCCCCTCCACGGAGCCTATTTTGTACTTGTGTGTGAAGATCACTAGACTTGTCTTACTCGGGTTCATCGATAGACCTGTCTTCTCACACCACTCCTCCACCACCCCTAGAGCCCCTTGTGTGAGCTCCAGGAGCGTTTTCAGGAAAGGGCCTCCTATCAGGATCGCCAACTCATCAGCGTACGCGATTGCCTCGAAGCCCTTTTCGTTAAGCTCTTCAAGTAGCCTACCAGCTACTAGGCACCACAAGAGTGGTGAGAGGACTTCCCCTTGGGGACAGCCTCTCCTCACCCATCCTTCGACACTCACCATACCTAGCGATGTCATCACTTGGCGTCCAAGCATTCCTCAGATCCATTTAACAAGTTTCACCGGTACTCCCCGTCTTGTTGCCTCGGCACAAACAACCTCATGCGGAGTGTTGTTGAAGGCCCAATGTCCAGGAAGGTGCCTACCAAAAAACCCCCTTTCTGGAGTTGTCGTTCAATATTGTAGACAACCGAGTGGAGGGCCGATATACTCGAGTGGCCAGCCCGGTAAGCGTTCTGCTTAGCATGCAGCGGATACCGAGCCAGCATGCAGTCCCTGATGTATACATCAACCAGCTTTTCCAACGTTTTAAGAAGGAACGAGGTCAAGCTGATCGGTCTAAAGTCCTTAGCCGTGACATGATTCGCCCGCCCCGCTTTGAGAATAAAGACGATTCTCCACGCTCAGGGGGTGTAACCAAGAGCTAGACAGCCCCTCAGCATCCTCGTGAGGGGCCCGATTATCTGCCCTCTCTGAAGGAGAGCCGGGAAAACAAGATCGGGCCTCGCCGACTTGAATGGTTGAAAGGAGCCAATCGCCCATGTAACTCTGGTTGGCCTCACAATTTCCGCCGCCAATTTCCAATCGTCGGCACATGCCCTGAAAAAGCCCGCACCAACTTCCTCGCACCTATCTACATCCTTCTGGAAACCAGGAAAACTAGCCTCCAGAAGGTGCACCAGGCATCTTTCTCCGGATGCCGTGGTACCGTCTGACATTTGAACTGTCTCCAACGCAGCATCTGGGTTCCTGGACAGAAATCTGCAAAGTTGGCAGTGGCCGGTATTCCCTCCACCAACTCGCAGAAATCCTGTCAGCTCTTCTTCTTTGCTTCCACCACAGAGTCCCTATACTCCTTCTGGGTCTTCCTGTAAAGATCCCAGTCGGAGGGCCAGCCCGTATTTCTCGCCTTGACCCTAAGGCTCTGCAGCCGTGAATTCCATCAGGGAGTTCCCCTGTTGTTAATGACTGTCCTAGCCGGGCAGTTCGTCTCATAGGAGTCAACCAGAGCCCTTTGCAAATGATTCACGCAGAGCTCCAGCTCTCCCGCCGTTCCATTCCTTCTGAGGAAATCCTTGAGGTTCCTTTCCAGGTCCCACTGAAAAGAGTCCCAGTCTGTCCTCTTTGGATTTCTTACCTTCTCGACTTCCACTTTAAGATGCGAAAGTCTAAAAGTTATTAACCTGTGGTCGGAGAACGATGGCTCATCCGACACCTTCCATTCCCTTACCTTGCGTACAGACTCACGTGAGCAGAGAGTGAGGCCTAATACCTAACTCCTCCCCGCCGCACAGAAGGTGAGTTCATTACCTTTATTTAGAATCTCCAGGTCAGTCGTTACCAGATACCCAGTAACTTCCTTCCCCTTTCGTTCGTGTCGGTACTTCCCCATATAGTTGTAGTTAACATTAGCGGTCTTTCAATCTTATTATTGTTTCAAAAAATGTTTTTCAAATATTTTTAAAAACATTTTTTTTAACACGTTTTTACTACTTGAAAGGTGGAATTTTGCGATACATTCATTGAATAACAAGAAATGCGGTGCTTTAGAAGCTGCGGACACACTACTAGGGAATCCCTTCTATAGTAGTGTTACGTCCTGTAGACTCCACGATTCTTCTCTTTCGTGGAAGATCGATCGTTGTCACTCGGATATCATTTATGAAACATAAGTAGTTAATAACAGTCTCGGACTGTTTATGAAGAATAATCAAAGAGTAATCTACCCCTTATTTTTCACCACGGATCTAAATATCAACCACGGGATTGAGGGCGATGAAATTCCAGACATAGAGACCACGGTCCGTTCAAACAAAAGATCGCAATAGATTCCTCTTTCGATAGACGAATAAATAATTGAATCAATTCCTAGTAGTAACTCCATACTCTTGGAGATAAAACCTAACACCGGTAACCGACGGAAGTTTAGAAATCATAGATTAGACCTTTGAAACTCGAAGAGGAATCTGTTTATCGTCATCTAATACCGTGGATTCGTAACGGACAACGATCTTTCTTGATATAGTTCTAAGAAGAGATTGCGAACCTAGCGATAAGTTTCACACGAGACAATCAAAGTTTACACTAGCCACCCACTCCTATCCTTGGCGACACCACCCAAAACTGACCAATCCGATGTAAGAAACGGGGCGGATGACTAAAGCCAATTTCACCAATAAGCTCTCGGTGATCTTAAATGTTTAAACAAAAGAGACCACCAGTACCCTTCTGGGAGCAAATCCCGCCAATCAAAATCCTAATCGGTCAAGCTGTTACATCCCATAAGGATCCACCTCCAAAAGAGTCCTATATAAACCGCGATCTCACGACTCGAGTCAGAGTGACAGATAGAATTCAAAAATCAGAGTGAC